TTTTCCTTATTCTTTATATTTTCCAGAAGATGATGTTGCTCCACACAATCCCAAGAGAACAGCTAAGAGAGCCTGGTCTAATGTTGAGATCACAGCTGTAATGCGATATTTCAGAGGGCATATAGCTAAAGGAAAACTGGCCACCAAAAATGAATGCGGTCAGCGCAAGCTGGCAGAAGGCTCAGTTTTAGATCAAGGAACTGTGCAAAATATATGAGATTTTGTCAGAAACCATGGAATATCTGCAAAAAGACAGTCACAGAAATACAAGCCATAAACCTGCTCTATGCAGTGTTGTTTGTTTGCTTATTTTTGTAAATCAAAATGCATGTATTGTTTGAAAATGTGACATAATGAAAAGAAACACTGATACATAAACATTTATCTGATGATAATAGTTCAAAATGGTGGTTCATGTTGTACAAAACAAGCAAATAATTTCCAGCTACAGTATTTGTTTGGATTATAAAAAGCTGAGAAACAGTTAAAGATGTTTTTGTTGCAGCAGACACAATATTTTTTATGTATTTGTTTAGTGGAGTAATGTTACAGAATTCAAACTGTGTTTTTGGACAACAGTGGAGGTTTATGGCACAAACCAGTAAGCTTTAAACTCCTTTTTGGGTGTTTGAAAACATCTGGTCTTTATTTTCTGGTTAATTGAATGCTTTATTTTGATTTGAATTGCCATTTTGGTAGTTAACTAAAAAAAAGGAGACATTTATTTATTTTTTCTGTGTAATCAACTTATTTTTACTAACTTTTTTTCTTTTTGTTAATGGTTGGTTCAGTTTAATGTGAAAGTATGAAAACAATACGTCAAGGGCATTTGTATTGCTATTGTTGATTAAATGACTGTTCCATTAATACTATGTTTTGTCAGGTTTGTGTATTTATGTAAATGAGCCCCTCTTTAAACTGTGAGATCACTGTCCCTTTAAAAACCTAACAATGTTTATTTGGACCCTATAAACCACACACTTAATTTGTCCTCACAAACCACTCTAGGGTTAGGGTTGTGTGTACGAGGTTCTGTAGGTTGTATCTGAACTCTAAAGTGAGCTAAATGTTTTCCAATTTTTTTGAAGCATTTGAACCTTGCTCCCATAGCTCTAGGCCCTCAGGAAACAGTAGTCCATCTAAACCACCACCGGGCGGGTTTGGAGCAAAATGACCCAGTATACCATAAAAACCAGTATGTGTGTGTGTGTGTGTGTGTGTGTGTGTGTGTGGGTGTGTGTGGGTGGGGAGATCAAGTGTTCGCAAGGCTGTATGTTTTTCATCTCTCTCTCTCTCTCTATCTCTCTCTCTCTATCTCTCTCTCTGTGTGTGTGTGTGTAATGGCAATGAAAATGGTCAAAAGTATTGACGGGGAGGTTTATGGCTTCTTATGAAAACACATGAGTCAAGTCCTTCTGGAAACTAGATACAGTTCCATCTCTCTGATCATCAGTCATCCTTGCTAAAAGGCATAGCAACCCCTAAAGCAACATAGCTTCTTTTTAACCATTGTTCTGGGAAGAAAAGCTCATCAGTTCTGGGGGACGAGACAGTGGTGCGGTGGGTAGAGCAGTTGTCTCCCAAGTTGAAGGTTCGAATCTCAGTGCCGGCAGTCTACGTGTCAAAGTGTCCTTGGGCAAGGACCCCCCCTGTTGCCCCCAATGGTTAGAGCCATGGCTTGAGGTGGCGCCGCAGATGGCAGGTATCGGTTCTGTACCGAAAACAAATTCCTTGTGTGTAACATACTTGGCCAATAAAAGTGGTTATCCTTATTTTTAATACATTTATTTTCATTGCTTAAATATTTTACAATGGTAATGAAGCAGAATCGGCTTACTAACTTCTGTTGAGACTGGATGGCTGCATCTCCTAGTGACCGGACAGCCTCTTTGCATTTTGGCAGGGACCTGTTGGCCTGTTTTTGCACTCACACCTAGACCTACTTTGCATATCCCAAGCTCTGCTTTGTCTTGGAGTGTCCTGCAGAGCCAGGGGGCCCACAACCTGAGATGACCACCTGGCCAGTTCAGCATACTTATTAGCATCACACACACAGGGGGCCTGCAACTCAGGCCACCCATTGTTCGGGGCCCATTGATCAAGATCAGAGTGCTGGTCACACACACACACACATACCTAGATTTACCACATTCCAACATGGAAGTGCGAGCTCTGGCTCACACCAAATGGCCAATAGGATCACGAACTATTGAAGGTTGCACCCCTGTCCAGGGCGGAGCGGCCCAAGAAGATAAAATGGATTGTAAAAACTTAATTTGGGGTTCAGAGAATGGAATTCCTCCGGGAGCTTTGTTTCTCTGATCCCAGCGCTGTAAAACCTGCCTGTGCTCAGACTTCCAATAAACCTCCTGTTGATTTTAAACAGTCCTCTCCTGTCTTCACTTCTCGTGCTTTTAATAAAAGAATTTGGGTAAGATTTAACAAAGAGCTGAACATGTAGATACCAGAATGGCCTGTATAGCTGAAAGTATGCTGGACTTATAAAGTGCCAAAAAACGGATGGAAGATCCCAGAATAATCAGGAGAACATAGTGTGGATGCTTTACAGCATCCACACAATAAAGCATATTCCAATGGGAGGATAAGAGAATTGTTTTACTTCCATGCATCACATGACCTGTAATTCCAACTGTGGCCACTATACCACAAATTACCTTTCTGCTCAGCTGGAAGTTGGTTAGGGGCCCAGCAGTATATTTTTGCACTGTGCTCCAATAGCAGGGAAATATGTCCAAGGATGGTATGTTGTTTTATTTGTTTATATAGTAATACCATGTAAAAAGTTCATAATAGCAAAGAAAATGTATTTACATAGCCCCTTTAAATAAACATGTAAATTAAATTAACTAACATAGGAATAAAAACAAACAAAACAACAACAAAAATTAAAGAACAAAGCCCAGTAGATTATCAAAATAACTACATTTATATTTTAATATAGTCTCTTACTTTTCAGTGTCTGTCTTCAAACATTTTTATCATTGTAAGGACAATTTTTGTTTAAGTAATTGTGTTTTTCTGTATAATAACACCAACTTATAGCACTGACATGTGCCAAACTTGTGAAATGGCTTTGGTATTTAGATAAACAACACCTGAGGCTAATTTCAGACATACAAAATATAAATGAGTCTCTTGCTGGCTGTTCAGTAAGTAGACTGTTATGCCTGGCAACAAAGAGCAATCTCTTGATGTGCACTAAATATTTTTTGTATTTGTGGGAGCCAGCACAAAAAAGAAGCTAAAACAAATTAAACATAATTATCAAAGTCACTGAAAGGTCTTGTCATTTTATTCTTTATTTTTATGCAAGAACTTTGAGTAGGCAGCTATATAATAATGCATTTAGATTAGTGAATGTTGTATTCAATATTATTTAATGTTTATATGCACAGATGTACCTATTTAATTGATCACTGCCTTTTTTCTGAACACAACTGTACTGTGCTTTTAAATGTACTGTAGTTCCGCCCACACTGTATTGGCCAATCAGCAGCTCTGACACACAACCGTCTCTGAGTTGTGGACTAATCACAGCTCATGTTTCAGTGCCAGTAGGGCAGTAAGATGTAGCAGTGTAGTTGATAGCGCCTCTAGTGCTCCAGCGCAGCAAACCGCGTTCTGTATGACTGACGCGGTCAATGGTCACAGAAAATACCCGGAAAGTGATTCTGGAGGACAGTAGGATTGTTTGGACTTTGGCTCTGGATCTGTGGATGTTTTCGGACCGATAAACCCGAGACTCCTGCGCCGTACCCGCAGCATTGGGTAGGTTTTTTGGGGCTGTGGTGTTGTAATCTCTCTCTCTTCTCCTTCCCTTTAGCTGCGACAATTAAACGCACAGTTGGGCAGGGGGTTCTGATTAACCGCAATTCGTTGGTGTATTAGCTTTAAGGCGGCTACGGCTCCTTTTAAATGCGGGTTACATAATTACTAGTGTCTGTCATGTTAGCTCTGAAGGCTGACATAGTCAGATAAGAAGGAAACCCATGGAAGATAAATACAATTTTATCGGGAAGGTATGTTGACAGACAGCTCCTTTCCGTGCCAACCTCGGAACGCGCTGAACTGTAACAGTGTCACCAAGCTCCCCTGGTTACTGAGAAACGTTAGACAGGTTACATACCTTGAAGATCGCCAAAGACATTTCAAAACCTTAAGAGGAGACAACCCTTCCATTCGACATACTACTGGGTCACCCGGTAATGAAATTCAACTTAAACATTTCTCCATGTGCCGTTAATTATTATTAGTATCCCATTGTTGTTATTATTACTACTAGTACTATAATATTCTAACAATATGGACCGTGCTGTGTGCCAGGAAGCACATTGAACGGAATTTAAAGATCGATTTATGTAGTTTTGTAATTTTAATGGATTTGAAACGTATGCCGATTTAAACAGAAGACTGTGACATTAAGGAAGCTTACATTGAATTTGTATGAACTGCTCTTTTTCACTGATGAATTAATGAATGATTTAATTGCAATATTTTAATGGAGTTTGGTTTGAGGTTACATATAAGATTAGTAGATAATGGAGTATATTTGGGTTGCATATGAAAGTGTTTGCAGGGTTGGGGAAAAAGTAATCTTGCCTTAGTTATTCCCACTGGCCAAGCAGTAGCCTGCACTATAACCAACAAGATGAGGATGAGGACGTTTTAGTAACATGTTACAACTGCACACACAGGGAAAACAAAACAAAACAAAACAAAAAAAACAGTCCTGTCAGATGCCCAACTAATCTTGCACTTTATCCTGTGATGACCCAGGGAGACATACTCTCAATTAATGGCATTTTACTTTCCCATCATTTTCATACAGTAGTATTATTGATTACCAATGCTATGTCCCCATTTGCTGATTGAAATGATTATCACCACTGATAGCTTTACATTGCCCCCACTTTGCTAATTGCGTACATCAGACTAGCAAGTAAGTATTGTTTAGTGAGCATAAAACTGAGATACAGTTGTAGCCTGTAGGCTTATGAGGGTGTTTATTAAAAAAATACATTGTAGCAGTCTTCAAAATTTGAAGAATGTTTCCAGTGGCCAGCAAGCAGCATAGACTAGCAGTGTCTTGGTAGCCAGGAGCACATCTGCCGCCTGCAAGCGGTCAGGGGGGTAAAAGACTCGGGTCCAGATGAATTCATTGTTTACCCTAGTGCTGGCTCCTCACTGGCTTAACTTCCACAGCTGAAAAGCTGGATCATTTAGACTCCAGGTCATTTATACTTTACTTTCCTTGTCTGAAAAGAATAAAACTCCGCTGCATCACAACTATCACATTCATTCAAGCAGCTGCCTGTCCTATGAGGCCAGTCATGGTTTCAACTGCAGAGCAGTACCCATATTTATGAAGTTCCTTCAAAAAGTGCATGCTACTCAAGGACTAAACCATATATCAGACTCCACAGAATAGTAGTGATGATGGTCAGAGATGCCAGTCGATACTCTATGTTGTATTGCTTGCTCTATTGTCTATGCAACTATTTGCATGTATTACTTTTCCCCATTTTGTATTCCCCTTTCAATTTGTTTTTTTAAGTGTTACTTAACACAGTAACACTGAACTCTCCTGGATAATGCAACAGTCCTATATGAAATGGGAAGGTTACATGTTTAGTTTAACTCTTACAGTGCTCATGAGTGAGATGGAATAGAAATGGTTGGGAAATTCAAAAAGCTTTGTTATAGCAGTTGTTGATAAAACATGGTGTCACAGCTGCTGAGTTCTAACAGAACTGGCACAGAATTTAAAACAATAATTTATCTAAGTTGGAGATGTTTTGTTTTATCAGCACAATCATCTTAAGCTCCCACCTGCCATCAGCAGCTCACATGGCAGAAATTTAAATTCTGTGACTGTGATTCTTGCCAAAGTACACATCAGGAGTCAGTTAAATTTATGAAAACAAGCTTATACCTTTTGCTCTTTTATCATAGAACCAGTTACTTTGTAAAGCAGTTGCTAATCCTTTGGACTGAGGTTTGAAATTAAGTCTTTCACTTGTAAGTCATCTAATATTATTTGTGGGAAATATAAATAGATGTGTGCCTGAAATATCTTCTCTTAATTTGTAACACTGTTGTGTGTCGTAGTATACCTGCAGACAAGAAGCCCAGAGTTTAGGGCGTCTTAAATTTGCAGACGAGGTCTGCTTTAGATAAAAAAACCAAATGTATTCAGCTAATAATAAACAGCAAAGTAACAGTAACCAGCAAATACTAGCCAGTACTATACAGTTTCACAGAAGGTAGTCTAACCACTAACATTCCGCAGGCTGATTTCTTGTAAAGATGAAGCACTACCAGTGTGAAGAAACCCTGAACTAAGGTGAAACATATTGCAGAAACCTCAAACAATCTCTATGGTTCTGAAAAGATTAATCAACTAAACTAGGGGTGTCAAACTCAATCGCACAGGGGGCCAAAACTCAAAGCACACTTTAGGGCACGGGCCGAACAGGACAAAAGTTTATTGAACAGATTAAAACTAAACGTTTTGTGAACACAAATATAAATCGAAACAGACAGGATACAATATTATTCCAAAATAAATAAACCTGAACTTAAAATCAGCAACTGTATTTCTGCTAAGGCTTGCATTTGCAAACACCGGCTTTTTGTCTGGACACAAGACGTCGCACACTTTCATCATGCAGCTCTTCAGAAACTCTCCCTCGGTAAATGTCCGGGCTGATTTTCTCCTCTGCCGCAATAAAACTTGCTTTCACAGTATACTCAGCCTCCCACCGGTTTTGAAAGGCTCTGTTTTCAGAATCAGCTTTTCACTTGGCCATTGTTAGGGGCTAGCTTTGACTTGAAATTAGGGTTGTATACATCAACGGACGCTTGATTGAGCTGACATAATTGATGCGGGAATGATCGCAGGTAGCCTATCGTTCGGTAAGGCAGCTGTTGCACTGCATTATGGGATTTGTAGTTTGTGTGTTATCAGCGCTTCATATCGCTGGGCCATTAAAAAAAAGATATATAAAATGATCTCGCGGGATTCTAATTCTAATGCGTTACATGATGAAAGTGACTTGTGACTTTAGGTTGCAGTATTCCTCAACATGATGGCCACAGTGAAGTGCTGAAAGCCACACTGTAACAGTTACAGGTTTCCCCAGTTGATGAATTGCATTTTCTGAAACAATTCACCATTCACCACTAACTCTTTTTTTTTTTCTAAAATTGATTTTTTTATGCCAACTTACATTATTTTGAATTTTGTAACCACATGGCATTTACCATAGAGATTCCACTTACAGGAACACTGACAGAGAGTGTAGAATTAGATTAGATTAGATTAGATTCGATTCAACTTTATTGTCATAACACATGTACAAATACAAGGCAACAAAATACAGTTTAGCATCTAACCAGAAGTGCAATAAGAGCAGTGCACAGTTCTACAGTATGTACAGTCAGAACTAATTTACGGATAGATATGTACAATTTATAGTTATAGCAAGATATGCAATATACAACAGACTATGGATTTAAATTACAGTAGTGTATAATGTACATTAATCTTATAGAACACTAGTGGATGAGATGGAATGAAATAGTGGAGAATAAGATAAGTTAGATGAGTGAACAGTTCAATTGATGTAAATAGTGCAAAGATAAAGAAAAATATACAGTATCTGCGTACAGTGTGCAAATGAATACAGAGCGAGCAGTATTCTGGGAGTAGAGTATGTGCAAATTAACATCACTTCAGTGTTACAGGTAACAGAAGTGTATTGCATTAGTCCTGGGAGGACAGATGAGAAGGGGTGAGGTGTGTGTAGTGGTACCGGAAGGCAGTGGGGGGGTCAACGGGGGACAGAATGTTTCCTTTTTTGAATTTTAAGCAAATGTTAAGATGGTAGGAAGGGAATGTACAGTTTAACTTTGAAAATAAGAAACGTGAACCAGAGTAGCCTGATGGCAATTAATATTATCCCAAAAGGTAGCATTTCTGGGACTGCCCTGGTCACCCTGACTCCACTTGCTGTTGAAAATGGTTGAAAGTTGATCTAAGAATACAAGCAGATGTGCTGTTATATTGACCCAAGGTGGTGTGGCAGTGGAGGACCCCATGACTACTTATAGCATGCTTTACCTCCTGCACCCCTCTGATGTCTTTCCATATTTAAAAATGTAATAAATAAATATGAATTGAAACAGAGAGGATACAATATTTGAAAATAAATAAACTTGAACTTAAAATCAGCAACCGTATTTCTGCTAAGGCTTACATTTGCAAACACCGGCTTTATGTCTGAACACAAGACGTCGCACACTTTCATCATGCAGCTCTTCAGAAACTCTCCCTCGGTAAATGTCCGGGCTGATTTGGCTATCTCATCTGCCGCAATAAAACTTGCTTTCACAGCAGCTTCACTGTGTGATTTCGTTTTGGTGAAAACATCTGCTGTGATGTCAGATTCCTCTTCAACTCCTCTACCTTGTGTAGCTTCTGCTCTGCATTCACGTTTTTCAGCTTGTTCTGATGTTTTGTCTCATAGTGCTGTCTTAGGTTATATTCCTTAATTACAGCCACATTAGCTCCACAAATAAGACACATGGGTTTACCGGCAATGTCAGTAAACATATACTCAGCCTCCCACCGGTTTTGAAAGGCTCTGTTTTCAGAATCAGCTTTTCACTTGGCCATTGTTAGGGGCTAGCTTTGACTTGAAATTAGGGTTGTATACATCAACGGACGCTTGATTGAGCTGACATAATTGATGCGGGAATGATCGCAG